AAATTGGGCTTAATCAAAATTAAAAACTTTTGTGGGTCAAAGCACTGTTAAGAAAGTTAAAAGACTAACCACAGAATGGAAGAAAATATTTTCAAATCATAGCTCTGATAAGGGTCTTGTATCCAAAATATATGAAGAGCTCTTACAATTCAACAATAAAAAGACAAATACCCTAATTTAAAATTGGGCAAATGATTGGAATAGACATTTCTCCATAGAAGATATACAAATGGCCAATAAATGTATGAAAAGACACTATCATTAGTCATTAGGGAAATACAAATCAAACCCACAATGAGATATCACTTCAAACTCAGAAGCATGGCTATAATCAAAAAGGCAATAACGGGTGTTAGCAAGAATGTAGAGAAATTGGAACCCTCATATATTGCTGGTGGGAGCATAAAATGGCAGAACTGCTGTGGAAAACAGTTTGGCATGTTCTCAAATTGGTACTATAAGACCCAGGAATTCCACTGCTAGGTATATGCCCCAGAGAACTGAAAACATAAGATTTATATAAAAACTTGTACATGAATGTTCATAGCAACATTATTCATAATAGCCAGAAAGTGGGAACAACTCAAATGTCTATCAACTGATGGCATGGATAAACAAAATGTGGAATATCATGATATAATTCTACCATAAAAGGGAGTAAAGTGCATATACATACTACCACATGGATGACCCTTGAAAGAAGCGAAAGAATGCTAAGTCAGAGAAGCCAGGCACCACATATTGTGTGATTTTATTTATATTAAATGACCAGGTAGGCAAATCCATTGAGATTTGTGGTTTCTAGGGGCTAAAGAGAAGTGGCAAGGCGGAGTGACCGCTAATGGGCACAGGATTTCTTTGGGGGGATGATGAAAATGTTTTGGAATTAGATAGTGGTGATGATTGAACAACCTTGTGAATATAGTAAAAACCACTGAATTTTACACTTTAAAATGGTGAATTTTATGTTATGTGAATTATATCTGAATAAGAAAAAGAGAGAGAAATTTATATTCTCACCTCTAGCTCGGTGCTTCTCAAACATTCTGGTCTCAAAACCCCTCTATATTCTTAACAATTATTGAGGCTCCCAAAGAGCTTTTGTTTATGGGTTTTGTTTTCAGTTTTGTTTATGTGTTTATGTTAAATACACATTGACATTCACCATGTTATAAATTAAAACAGAAAAAATTTTAATATTTGTTAATTCATTTAAAATAGCATTAATACACCATATGCATGTAACAAGAGTAACAGTTTATGAAAATTAACTATATTTCCCAAATAAAAAAATAGCAAGAAGAGTGGCATCGTTTTTGCATTTTGGCAAATCTCTTTAATGTCTCGAATAACAGAAGCCAGGCAGCTTCTCCTATCTGCTACATTTAATCTGTTTTGATATGTTGTTTGGGTTGAAAGATATGAAAAAAATCTGATTTCACACAGATATGTAGTTGGGAAAGGGAGGAGTATTTTGTAGTCTTTTCAAATAATTGTAGATATTTTTCTTAGATACCACACCCAAACTGGTCAAGTGGGTTTCTTGGAGGTTAGTTGCAATGTGGAATCTGAAATCATATCAACGAACTTTTCATTCTGTTACATTAAAATCCATTGGTCTATAAGGAACTTTAAACTGATCTTTTACCCATGCATGATTTTGGAACATTGTGCATTGGTCATTTGGAAAATATTTGTTTCACTGAGTTAGGAAGCTCTTCCAAATGTTGACACATTTCATGATTCAATACCAAAATCTCACATTCATTGATATCAACACCAAGCTCAACAGAAAAGTCTTCAGGTTTTGGGGAAGCTGCAAGCCCGCAGTGGTAGAATAAAGTTTTCCAAAATTCCAATGTTTGTTTTAAAACTTGAATCTCATAATTAGCAATGAAAGCTCTCAGTTGTTTTCCCTGAAAGGGAAAGCTTGCTTTGTTTTCAGAAAATGTCTACCAATACCCAGGTCTGAATTAGCATATATATTTTTTCTGTCAGTCACTCTTTCAAGGAGAAATGATGTTCCATAAAAAAAAAAGCAGCTACTGGGGTTCCCTGGTGGCACAGTGGTTAAGAATCCGCCTGCCAATGCAGGGGACACATGTTCGAACCCTGGTCCGGGAAGATCCCACATGCAGCAGAGCAACTAAGCCAGTGTGCCACAACTACTGAGTCCGCGTGCCACAACTACTGGAGCCCATGCGCCACAACTACTGAAGCCTGTGCACCTAGAGCCGTGCTCTGCCACAAGAGAAGCCACGGCAATGAGAAGCCCGCACACCGCAATGAAGAGTAGCCCTCGCTCGCAGCAACTAGAGAAAGCCCGCGCGCAACAACAAAGACCCAATGCAGCCAAAAATAAATAAATTAAATAAATAATTTTTTTTTAAAAAGCAGCTAGTTTAGCTCACAACTCAAACAAGTGCCTTTCCTCAACACAACGACTGTCCTTCTATGTGCAGAAGTTATGACTTCTTCTTATTTAATGTACTCAGGGATTGAGGTTTTTTTTTTTTTTTTTTTTTTGACTGTCACGGAAACAGACATTTAGAACGCGGGCCTCTCACTGTTGTGGCCTCTCCCGTTGCAGAGCACAGGCTCCGGACGCGCAGGCTCAGCGGCCATGGCTCATGGGCCCAGCCCCTCCGCGGCATGTGGGATCCTCCCGGACCAGGGAACGAACCCGCATCCCCTGCATCAGCAAGCGAACTCTCAACCACTGCACCACCAGGGAAGCCCAGGGATTGAGTTTTAATAAAACTAATCATTTTTATTCTTTTTTTTTTTTGGCTGTGCCGTGCAGCATGCAGGATCTTAGTTCCCCAACTAGGGATTGAACCCGCGCCCCCTGTAGTGGAAGCGCAGAGTCTTAACCACTGGACGACCAAGAAAGTCCCATCAAGCACATTCTTAAGTGAAACTGGCTTTTGTTTTGTCTTGTTCTTTCATGCATGGTGGTGAAAAACGCAATGACTTCCAGGATAATATAGTGCCGTGGCGGCTTTGCCATCATTGTGAATGTTGTCAATGTCGTTATGGGGAAAAGACAAACTATGACTCAGTGTTTGACTTCGTGGGCCCCCTGGAAAACTCTAGAGTCTCCTAGGAGTCTGTGGACCAGACTTTGAGAACCACTGCTCTTGTTCATTCATTCGTTCGTTTTAATGGAACACTTGGTATGTGCTAGGTCCTAGGGCCACAGCAGGCCACAAGACAAGGCCTTGCATTCTCAGGGGGAGACACATAAATAAACAAGAAATTTTCTGATGGTGGTGCCACAAACTTGAAAGAATATCACTGAGGAAGAAGGGGACAATACTAGGGTGAAGGAACACCTCTTTGAGGTGACATTTCAATGGTGACCTAATTGGTAATGAGGAGAGTCTAATGGTATCCTTGTCAAAATGCAGTGTTCAGGGTACAAAAGATGTAGAGCTCTCTTTGCTCTATACCATAGAGCAAAGCCATCTCCCCTCTGGGTCTGACGTCACACTTTTTAAAGAAAGCAGCCCACCCAAGACACTGGGTTGGAAAGGATCAGAAACCTGTGCTCTGATCCCATCTTTTTATCAAGCTATTCTCTTCACTTCTCTGAGCTTTGAATTCCAAGCCCTTATCTGAAAGTAGTATGGTAGTAACTACCCAGCCCACCTTATAGTCAGAGTGGAGTTCAGATGACCTAAAGATGCACTGGAAAGTTTTTTATCCATTGTAAATGTGAGTGTTGCCTACTCAGTCAGGCTCAACTACCTTCATCTGCAGGCTACCCGGCTGCAGGCTCTCACCCTGAGCACTGGTCAGCTCAGTCAGCTCTTCCCCCAATGCCCTCTGCCTTTTCACAGGAATCTTAGTTGAGTCGTATCTCTTCTATTCCAAATGGGGATTCTTGATTCAGGGAGGATACGATAAAGGACCTGACACCAATCCTAATTTTTGAAAATATCTAGTTCCTTTCTACAGGTAATCTTAGCTTGTTGAAATTTTAAAAGATCTTGCCTACTAAATCAATTGATTTGAAGTGCTAACAAGCCTGTCTTCTTTGTTTTTATTCAAGTCATAGAATAAAATGCCAATCCCTGCACAGGACACTTGAGACCCTCTTCCCCCCCCCACAAACACACACCTCGCCCTCCGGATTGCTACTGAGCTCGTTCTCTGTTGTTTTACCAACTCCACATAATTATGTGGCCATATGTCATATGTCCAGCTGGTTCCCTGGCTGTGTCCGATGTTTGGCTGCCTTGCAAACGAGGTCTCCTGAAGACTTCTCCCCCAAGTGCTTCTCTTATGTTAAGAAATGCACGTGATTATATTGAGATGTTGCTTACCTCGGTTCTTAGAGTGTTTAACTCACTTCATTTTGCAGAGAGCAAATGGAGGTGTGGAGCCACGTTGGGACTAAAAGCTGAGAATACTGAAACTTTTAACACATTGTTTAGTAGTTCTGGCCTAGGAAACGGGAGAGATGGGAGGGGGGGGATGGGATGAAATGGGGAGGAGCCCAAGCCCCACACCTGGCGAGCTGCAGGCCTGAAGAGCCCTTAGTGCGCTCCCTCGGCAGGATTAACCCCTCCCAATCCGCGTCCGGGGCGCACGGGGGATGCCAGGAGGGGGACAAGAGGCGGCTGCCACCACAGTGTCTCCTCAGCCGGAGAGCAAGTGGCTTTTGGTCTACAGTTGTTTAAGATGCCCCCACACGAGGCTCGGGCTCATCCCTAGGGACGTCCCCCGCCCAGGTGGTCGGCATCCTAAGAGGGGCGCGGCGGGCGGCCCCCCAAACCCCCTAAACAGAATGGGGGGCTGCGCGGCAAAGAGAGACCCCGGAGATGCCCGGGGTGGGGACCCAAGGCAGGAAAAATCCTGAGCTCTGACCCCTTCTGGTCAAAAGCTGAGGGAGCGAGGCGGGGCATGCGACGTCACCCTAGGAGTCCCAGGCCGGCACAGAAGTTCCGAGGTGCCGCGGCTTCTCCGGCTCTCAGCCTCGTTCCGAGAAAGGGGGCATGGTCCCCAGGGTTCCTGCCTGTGCGGTGAGCACCCTCGGCGTGGTTCCAACCGTGGGCAGCCCGCAGGCTCCGGGAGCTGAGCCGCTGGCCTCCACCCCTCGGGCGGCCGGCAGGTGGCAGTGTTTGGCCGCAGGTGAGCCGACCCAGCCAGACCCAGCCAGACTCTGAACGTGGTTCCTCCCGTTGGGTCTTGCCACTACCAGTGTGTCTGGACTTGTTCACTGACCATTATCTGGGTTCTTGCCTGCCCAGACCCCACATCTCTCCTGGTTCTCCCTGGCTGCCCCTCCCAAGTAACTAATGCCTGCACCCCTCCATAAACGTACGTCACTCCCCCATGGATACTTCTTGGCCTCATGCCAGACAGTGGTGCCAACTTAGAAAGAGGAGGTGAAGGGACCTTCAAGATGGCGGAAGAGTAAGACGTGGAGATCCTCCCGACAAATATATCAAAAATACATCTACATGTGGAACAACACCCACTGAACGCTGGCAGAAGACCTCAGACCTCCCAAAAGGCAAGAAACTCCCCACATACCTGAGTAGGGCAAAAGAAAAAAGGAACAACAGAGACAAAAGAATAGGGACGGCACCTGCACCTCGAGGAGAGAGCTGTGAAGGAGGAAAGGTTTCCACCCGCTAGAAGCCCCTTCACTGACGGAGACAGGGGTGGCAGAGGGGGGAGCTTCAGAGCCGCGGAGGGCAAAGCGGAGAGGTTCCCGCACAGAGGATCGGTGCCGACCGGCACTCACCAGCCCGAGAGGCTTGTGTGCTCACCCGCCGGCCGGGATGGGCGGGGTCTGGGAGCTGAGGCTCGGACTTCAGAGGTCAGATCCCAGCGAGAGGACTGGGGTTGGCTGCGTGAACACAGCCTGAAGGGGGCTAGTGCGCTACAGCTAGCCGGGAGGGAGTCCGGGAAAAAGTCTGGACCCGCCTAAGAGGCAAGAGACCATCGTTTCGGGGTGTGCGAGGAGAGGGGATTCCTACCCCTTCTGCCCACAGAAGGCAGAGCATTGCCTAAACAAGCTCCAGAGACGGGTGCGAACCGTGGCTATCAGCTTGGACACCAGAGACGGGCATGAAACGCTAAGGCTGCTGCTGCAGCCACCAAGAAACCTGTGTGCAAGCACAGGTCACTATCCACACCCTCCCGGAAGCCTGTGCAACCCGTCACTGTCAGGGTCCCGTGATCCAGGGACAACTTCCTCGGGAGAACACAGAGAGCGCCTCAGGCTATTGCAATGTCACGCTGGCCTCTGCCACCGCAGGCTTGCCCTGCATTCCAATCATAACTACCATACTCCTCACTCCCCCCGCATGAATGAGCCAGAGCCCCCTAATCAGCCATTGCTTTAACCCAGTCCTGTCTGGGCGGGAACAGATGCCTGAGGGTGACCTACACGCAGAAGTGGGGCCAAAACCAAAACTGAACCCCAGGAGCTGTGCGAACAAAGAAGAGAAAGGGAAATCTCTCCATGCAGCCTCAGGAGCAGCGGATTAAATCCCCACAATCAACGTGATGTACCTGCATCTGTGGAATACCTGAATAGACAACGAATCACCCCAAAATCGAGGCGGTGGGCATTGGGAGCAACTGCAGACTTAGGGTTTGCTGTCTGCAACTGACTTGTTTCTGCTTTTCATGTTTACCTTAGTATAGTTTTTAGTGCTTGGTATCACTGGTGGATTTGTTTATTGGTTTGGCTGTGCTCTTCTTTTTTTATTACTTTTTTATTTTTTTATTTTAATAATTTTAAAATTTTAATTAATTAATTTATATATTTATTTATCTTTCATTTTTCTCCCTTTTCTTCTGAGCTGTGTGGCTGACAGGGTCTTGGTGCTCCAGCCTGGTGTCAGGCCTGAGCCTCTGTGGTAGGAGAGCTGAGTTCAGGACATTGGACCACCAGAGACCTCCCGGTCCCATGTAATATCAGTTGGCAAGAGCTCTCCCAGAGATCTCCATCTCAGTGCTAAGACCCACCTCCACCCAACAGCCAGCAAGATTCAGTGCTGTACGTACCATGCCAAACAACTGGCAAGACAAGAACACAACCCCACCCATTAGCAGAGAGGTTGCCTAAAACCATACTAAGTTCAGAGACACCCCAAAACACACCACCAGACGCAGCCCTGCCCACCAGAAAGACAAGATCCAGCCCCACCCACCATAACACATGTACCAGTCCCCTCCACCAGGAAGCCTACACAACCCACTGAACCAAACTTACCCACTGGGGGAAGACACCAAAAACAACGGGAACTATCAACCTGCAGCCTGCAACAAGGAGACCCCAAACACAGTAAGTTAAACAAAATAAGAAGATAGAGAAATATGCAGCAGATGAAGGAGCAAGGCAAAAACCCACCAAACCAAACAAATGAAGAGGAAATAGGCAGTTTACCTGAAAAAGAATTCAGAGTAATGATGGTAAAGATGATCCAAGACCTTGGAAATAGAATGGAGAAAATACAAGAAACGTTTAACAAGGACCTAGAAGAACTAAAGAGCAAACAAACAATGATGGACAACACAATAAATGAAATTAAAAATTCTCGGGCTTCCCTGGTGGCGCAGTGGTTGAGAGTCCGCCTGCCGATGCAGGGGACGCGGGTTCGTGCCCCGGTCCGGGAGGATCCCACGTGCCGCGGAGCGGCTGGGCCCGTGAGCCATGGCAGCTGAGCCTGCGCGTCCGGAGCCTGTGCTCCGCAACGGGAGAGGCCGCGACAGTGAGAGGCCCGCGTACCGCAAAACAAAATAAAGAGCATCCTCATGTTAAAAAAAAAAAAAAAATTCTCTAGAAGGAATTAATAGCAGAATAATTGAAGCAGAAGAACGGATAAGTGACCTGGAAGATAAAATAGTGGAAATAACTACTGCAGAGCAGAATAAAGAAAAAAGAATGACAAAAATTGAGGACAGTCTCAGAGACCTCTGGGACAACATTAAACACACCAACATTTGAATTATAGGGGTCCCAGAAGAAGAAAAGAAAAAGAAAGGATCTGAGAAAATATTTGAAGAGATTATAGTTGAAAACTTCCCTAAAATGGGAAATAGTCAATCAAGTCCAGGAAGTGCAGAGAGTCCCATACAGGATAAATCCAAGGAGAAACATGCCAAGACACATATAAATCAAACTATCAAAAATTAAATACAAAGAAAAAATATTAAAAGCAGCAAGGCAAAAGTAACAAATAACATACCAGGGAATCCCCATAAGGTTAAGAGCTGATCTTTCAGCAGAAACTCTGCAAGCCAGAAGGGAGTGGCAGGGCATGTTTAAAAGGATGAAAAGGAAAAAGCTACAACCAAAATTACTCTACCCAGCAAGGATCTCATTCAGATTTGACAGAGAAATTAAAACCTTTACAGACAAGCAAAATTTAAGAGAATTCAGCACCACCAAACCAGCTTTACAACAAATGCTAAAGGAACTTCTCTAGGCAGGATACACAAGAGAAGGAAAAGACCTACAATAACAAACCCAAAACAATTAAGAAAATGGTAACAGGAACATACATATTGATAATTACCTTAAATGTAAATGGATTAAATGCTCCTACCAAAACACATAGACTGGCTGAATGGATACAAAAACAAGACCCATATATATGCTGTCTGCAAGAGACCCACTTCAGATCTAGAGACACATATAGACTAAAAGTGAGGGGTTGGAAAAAGATATTCCATGCAAATGGAAATCAAAAGAAAGCTGGAGGGCTTCCCTGGTGGCACAGTGGTTAAGAATCCGCCTGCCAATGCAGGGGACATGGGGTCGAGCCCTGCTCCGGGAAGATCCCACATGCCATGGAGCAACTAAGCCCGTGCGCCACAACTACTGAGCCTGCGCTCTAGAGCCCGCGAGCCACAACTACTGAAGCCCACGCACCTAGAGCCTGTGCTCTGCAACAAGAGAAGCCACCACAATGAGAAGCCTGTGCCCCACAACAAAGAGTAGTCCCCGCTCACTGCAACTAGAGAAAGCCTGTGTGCAGCAGTGAAGACCCAACGAGGCCAAAAATTAAATAATAAATGAATAAATAAATAAATTTTTTAAAAAAGAAAGCTGGAGTAGCAATTCTCATATCAGACAAAATAGACTTTAAAATAAAGACTATTACAAGAGACAAAGAAGGACACTACATAACGATCTAGGGATCAACCCAAGACGAAGATATAACAATTGTAAATATTTATGCACCCAACATAGGAGGACTTCAATACATAAGGCAAATGCTAACAGCAATAAAAGGGGAAATTGACAGTAACACAACAATAGTAGGGGACTTTAACACCCCACTTTCACCAATGGACAGATCATCCAAAATGAAAACAAATAAGGAAACACAAGCTTTAAATGACACATTAGACAAGATGGACTTAATTGATATTTATAGGATATTCCATCCCCAAACAACAGAATACACTTTCTTCTCAAGTGCTCATGGAACATTCTCCAGGATAGATCATATCTTGGGTCACAAATCAAGCCTTGGTAAATTTAAGAAAATTGAAATCGTATCAAGTATATTTTCCGACCACAACGCTATGAGACTAGATATCAATTACAGGAAAAAAAAAAAACTGTAAAAAATACAAACACATGGAGGCGAAACAATACGCTACTAAATAACTAAGAGATCACTGAAGAAATCAAAGAGGAAATAAAAAAATACCCAGAAACAAATGACAATAAAAACACGACAACCCAAAACCTATGGGATGCAGCAAAAGCAGTTCTAAGAAGGAAGTTTATAGCAATACAACCCTACCTCAAGAAACAACAAGAAAAAGTCTCAAACAACCTCACCTTACACCTAAAGCAATTAGAGAAAGAAGAACAAAAAAACCCCAAAGTTAGCAGAAGGAAAGAAATCATAAAGATCAGATCAGAAATAAATGAAAAAGAAATAAAGGAAACAATAGCAAAGATCAATAAAACTAAAAGCTGGTTCTTCAAGAAGATAAACAAAATTGATAAACCATTAGCCAGACTCATAAAGAAAAAAAGGGAGAGGACTCAAATCAACAGAATTAGAAATGAAAAAGGAAAAATAACAGCTGACACTGCAGAAATACAAAGACTCATGAGAGATTACTACAAGCAACTATATGCCAATAAAATGGAC